AGCGGGGGAGGCGGAAGGCGACGCCGGCGGTGACGGCGAGGTGTAATATTCTTCTGCTGCTTTGCATGCACGACGCAAGGTGAGAGGTATGCCAGGCGCACAAAGGCATGTTCTGAGCTTGAGCAGCACACACAGGCAGGCCCTGACCTTCAGCTCCATTTTGACCTTCCCAAATCCCAAAGCCGCACGCATAACACTTGTCAAACAATGAGCATCCCTTACAGCCACCTGGAACAAAGTGGTTGAGGACAGCCACCCCACGATGGATGCCAGCCACTATTGCGAAGGCTTCTACAACCATACCTGATGATATGTGCACCTGTTATCGCTTTGTAGTCCATGCACGTTGCCTTGCCAAAGACCCATGTTGCCTGTCAAAGGGCAGACGTGTGAAGGCACAGGAAATGGTGGCGCGCAATGCACAACGCAGGAGCCAGTACCAGTTAGGAGAAATAGAGAGGCAACGATGCAGCATCCCATGCAGTGAATGGAATATGGCTTGCAGAACAGAAACCAGGGCCCGGTACAATGGGGTGGCGAGCACTTTGGCCCTGGCACATTTTGCGGTGTGAGGCCAGGAGCTGTGTGCCATTAAGACCAGGACAAGTAACATGCACCCAAGAGTCAGCTAGTAAAGGGCATGCAGTCAGGCTCGCGGGTGGATGGGGGATGCCGCTGCTCCTCACTTGCCGGGTGCACAACTTACCTCGCGGTACAGCCGGCGCCAGCCGTGCCAGTAGACGCTTTTCTTGGCATACTGTGTCTACCAATAGCATGGAAACTGCTACCATTGCTGGTACTGAGTGAGCACCGTCTCATGTAGCTCAAGGAGTTGAAGCCCACACTTGCATTGCCGCCGTGGCCCCAGGCGCACTTGGCCACACACAGGTCAGCGACGATGAGCTGAGCGATTGATCGGCGCACCTTCAGTCGTATATTTCGGTGTAGTTGTTCACAAAGCGTACGTTTATCTCGCAAATCGAGACGCTGTGAGCCCTGGGGCGCGGTGCACAACCTCGCGGTCCCACAAATTGGAGCTTGCAGCGCGCCATGAGGCTTCTCAAGGGCACCGGAACCCATGCCAAATGGCCGCGAGCCCCGGCACGGGTCAAGCCGCGCGGCGGCCGCCGATGCACCGAGTGCGCAGCGCTGCGTCCCTCTCGGCGGCGCCTGTTTGGCGGCGAGGAGGAGGGCGAGGACCCGACTGAAAAATATGCGGATTGGATTGACGACGAGGCTGCATCAGGCTCGTCTACGGGGTCCAGCAGCCCCCGCAATGGCCTTGACCCCAACCTCACGCCAGAGGTGGGTGACTGGTGGCAGTCCATTGCCCACTGCTGGCGCCTGGCTGGCGGCGCCTGCAGCAGGGGCGGGGCGCGCCTGCAAGAACACAATCAGTCAGGTGCATCACCATGCCTCGTAAGCAGGAGGGCCTGGAGACGTCCCAACTGCGGCCTGAGTTGCAGGGTCGCCTGGCGTTGACCCCTGCCGACGCGTCCACCGCCGCTGCTCCCGCCCGCGCACCACGCCGCCCGACAGGAGCGCTCCGCGGCGCTGCAGATGCTGCAGCGCTCCGGCCTCATGAGCATCAGCGCTATCAGGGAGGCGTACTTTGAGAGGGTTGCGCAGGTGTGAGGGTGGGATGTCGGGCGCATGCTGGGGGCCAGGTGCTGCAACCCCTTTGCATGCGCTTCTGCATTTCGCGCGTGCAAGGCCAGCGCTGTGCACACCAGCAAGTTCCTGACGAATTACGCATCAACAAAGGTGGAGGACAAAGGCTAGAACCTGAAAAATCTCTCCACCCGCTTTCCCGCCCACCATCGTCCTCTGGCCCGGCAGGACCTGCAGCAGGCGTCCACCGCCGCGGGCGGCCCCGGCCCCAAGCCGGGCCTGCTGTGGGGCGAGCTCGCGGAGCTGGCGGACGAGCTGGGCGCTGACCTGGAGGCCGACTGGCTGGCAGCCGAGGAGGTGCTGACCACTACGGGGCGCGCCAAAAAGGAGGGAGGGCAGGCCCAGCTGATGCCGCGCCCGCGGCACCCGGGGGTGAGCGAGCCGCGAAACGGATAGCATCGGGGCCGCACCTGTTTGATCGGCGTCAGATGCTGCTCTGGCGTGTGTGGCGCTGCGCGCGGCGCTGGGTGCAGCGGCGGGTGTGTGTGGGCGCGACAACCCATGCAGCGGTTGCCGTGTGAGGCGACGCCACTTTTCATGCATGTCAAACGTGTTTGAATCGCCTCCGACCGACTGCCAGGGCGTGATTGATGACGAGCCGCCCGTCAAGCGGCCGACATGGGGCCGCGGCGCCAGCGGCAGCGACGACGAGGATGAGGATGGCCCGGGCTTTGAGCAGCAGCAGGAGGACGAGGAGGAGGCGCCGCCCGAGATCGGCGACAGCCGCCTGCTGGACGCTCTCGCCCGCTCGGCTGGCCTGCCGGGGCTCAGCGCGAGCGCCATGGACGAGGCCGCGCAGCAGCGCCAGACGCGTGAGATGGTCATCGCCGCGCGCCGCCGCGCGGTCGCCGCGCGGCTGGCCGCGACGGAGCTGCGGCCCGGCGCCGCGGGGGCGCCACCGCGGCCGCCGCAGGCGCCAGCGGCGCCGTCGCCATGGCAGCAGCGGACGCCCGTCGCGCCAGCGCCACCGGGCACGCCGGCCGCTCCCCGGATTCCCCCTGGCGCGCGGCGGCCATCTCTGGAAGAGTTCATTGCCCAAAGGCAAGCCGCCAAGGACGCCGAGCGCCGCCGCGCGCCTGCGGCCCCCGACAAGATCGCCGCCGCGCGCGCCAGGCTCCGCGCCCTCAGCAGCACGGGCGCCGCCGGCGCGGCGCGCGTCTCGGCGGCGCTCGCGGGCGCGACGGCGCCGCTCGCGCGGCCGCAGCTGCGGCCGCCGGGCAAGGGGGAAGATCAGGAGGAGCCTTGGGAAGACGAGGAGACAAACGACAAATCTCCAAAGGACGAGTTTGGAGCGGAGTACTGGAGAAACATGGCCGCGACCCTTGGCAGCGAGGGCGCCCAGTCAACAGGCGCGCGCGGCGCCGGCGCCGGGGCTGCTTCTCTGCCGCGGCTGCAGGCGGCGCAGCTGGAGGCGGTGCGGCGCGCGGAGCAGGCGCTGAGGGCGGCGGCCGGCGGCGGGCTGGTGCAGCCGGCGCGCCCGGGCGCGCCTGAGGGCAGTGGCGCCGCGTGGCAGCAGGCCAAGCAGCAGCCGCAACAGCAGCAGCAGCAAGAGGGGTCTGAGCAGGAGCAGGATGGTTGGGCGGCCGAAGACGAGGGAGAGGCAGAGCAGGGCGGTTTTGATGCGGAGTATTGGCGCGGGCTTGCTCAGACCATCGGCAACCAGGGCTCCCCGCCACCAGCCGCCGGCGCCCGCGCAGCGGCGCCAGGCGCGGCCGCCGCGCGGCCGCCTCGGCTGCAGCAGGGGCAGTTCGAGGCGGTGCGGCGGGCGGAGCAGGCGTTGAAGGGCCTGGCGGGCGGGGGCCCCGCGCGGCCGGCGCGGCCGGGCGCCCCGGAGGGCAGCGGCGCGGCGTGGCAGCAGGCGAAGCTGCAGCCCGTCCAGCAGCAAGGCCCGCAGCAATTGCAGCAGGCGGAGGATGAGGGCGAGGCAGCTTGGTCGGAGGAGGGTGAGGAGGAGGACGGCGGTGAGTTTGGCGCAGACTACTGGCGCAACATGGCGGAGTCCTTGAAAAGCGACGGTGGTACCAGCAGCAGCAACAGCAGCAGCAGCAGCCAGCTGCCGCCGCAAGCGCAAGAGGCGCAGCGGCGCGCCGCCGAGCGGCTCAAGGGGTTCGCAGTGGCGCCACTGGCCGGGGCCGCCGTGCGGCCGCCAGCGGTGCGGCCTGGAGCGCCAGTGCCCGCTGCTGGGCAGCAGAGGCAGCGGCAGCAGCCCCTGCAGACCCCGCAGCAGCCAAAGCTTTCTGCGGGGCAGGCGGCTGCGGTGGATCGCGCCAGCAAGGCTCTGGGTGGCAGCAACCTCAAGCGGCCCCAGCAGCAGCCCAAGAGCCAGCAGCAGCAGCAGCAGCAGGTGGAGGAGCAGGAGGAAGAGTCCTCATGGGCTGACGAGGGCGAAGAGGAGGAGATCGACCAGTTTGGCGCTGACTTCTGGCGTGGCATGGCTGAGTCGATCGCCAGCGGTGCAGGCGGCAACTCGGGGTCTGGCAAGCAGCAGGCGCCGCAGACGCCGTCAGCCGCGCAGGTGCGCGCCGCTGAGCGGCTCAAGGGATTGTCAGTGGCAACGGCGGCCCGTGCAGCTGCGCGACCGCCGCCGGCACGACCGGGGGTGCCTGCACAGCAGGAGGAGCAGCGGCGAGAGCGGCGGCGGGAGGGGAAGCCCGCGGGCCAGCAGCAGCAGCAGCAGCCACAGCTATCGGCAGAGCAGGTTGCGGCGGTCGAGCGTGCCAGCAAGGCTCTAGGCGGCAGCAATCTCAGGCGCCCTCAGCAACAGCAGGAGCGGCAGGGGAAGCAGCAGCAACAGCAGGAGCAGCAGGAGCAGCACGAGGAGGAGCAGCTCACTACCCAGGAGCATCAAAAGCAGGTCAAGTCGCAGCTCAGCTACCCGCAGAAGCCTGAGCTGTCAGCAGAGCAGGCGGCTGCCCTGGAGCGAGCCAGCCAAGCATTGGGTGGCAGCAACCTCAAGCGGCCACAGCAGCACCAGCAGCATCAGCAGCACCAGCAGCCGAAGCAGCTGTCAAAGCAACCCCCGCCACCCCCGTCTCTGTCGGCCGAGCAGGCTGCGGCGCTGGAGCGCGCCAGCCAGGCGCGGGGCAGCAGCCAGCTGCGTCAGCCACCACCACGGCCCGCTCAGGATGAGAATGCCGCCAGCGAGGGCTCGGCCCCTGCCAGCTCGCGCGTTCCAGGGAGAGGCGGCGGCCGCGGGCGCTTTGGCCGGGGCCGCGGCGGCAGGGGCGGCGGCCGCGGAGGTGGCCGCAGCGGCGGGGCGCGCGGCGGCGGCTCCGGCGGCGCCCTGCAGCGAGACGGGGCTGCATTTGCACCTGTTGCTGGCCAACAGGTGCAAACGTGAACCATGAGTAATCACCGCGCTGAAACTGACGCATGGTTGGCCAGGCAACTGCACACATTGGAATGTGGCTGAACCGGACGGTCTGCTTACTCAAGAGTGACGGGTTACTCAGCTTGCATCGATGCATCAACAGTGTGAGAGCAGCCCTAGTGCACGCATGCTCGTACAAAAGCCAGCCTCTAGCAGCGCAGCATTTTCCTGGGCGAGTGCTTCGGCGCGCACCCAGCACGGCACTCGCCTTTTGTAGGCAAGCAGGGCGTACCAAGTGGGATGCCAGCCACGACTGCCAGGTGGCGTGTAGGATCACCAGGCGCACAAACGCGTGCGAGGGCGCACATAGCGCTCGTTCGCAGCTTGGGGCGCGGGGAGCTGGGAGTCAGAATAGGGGCGGAGCGTCCAAGCGGCAAGCGAGCAGATGGAGCGGCGGCAGGCAGTCGGACGTGACGCAACATCATAAAACTGTAGTCCCGGCATCTACACGCACAAAAGGCTTTGAGAGGGCAGGCAAACATGCGTCTTTCAGCAGCCGGTGCTTCCAAAGCAGAGCAGGATACATGCTACCCTAAAGGCAGATGGGGGGGGACCAATGCTTGTGTGCAGCAGAAGGGCGCAAAACCGGGGCCTCATAGGCTCAAAACGCGCACAGGAGCGGCGGCAATAACACGGTGCAGCACGACAGGGTGGCAAGAGTATGTAAGGGGGGCTCTTGCATGGGTTGGATTCCTGGATGTGTTCATGTTTGAGGGTGTGGTGGGGGGAGAAGAGGTCTAGTGCGGAGGAGCGGCGCCATGCACGGCTGGCATGGTTTGAAAGGGTGAAACGGCGAGGTGTGCGGCGCCGCGGCGTTCACGTCAAACAGACGGATTATTGTCTGCTGCCATTGGCCATGGCATGCTGGAAAAAGCACCAAACCTGTGCAACTTAACTCCGCCTGAAGGTTGGAGTCTAGTGACTACCCCTTCTTGCAAGATTGTGGTGGGGCCTGGTGTGTGTCCTGCCTGCTGCGCGTGTAATGTGTCTGTCTGCACCAAACGTACCAAGGGACACGGGACGCCACAAAGCACGCAAGCCCAGCAGTGCATGTGCGGCCGGCAGCATGCAGCCGCCGGCCCAACAACCAACGACAGACGCAGTAGCAAGACATGCGCAATTTCGCAAACTCTGCTCGCTGGCCAATTGCAGAGGACCTGCAAAGGGCCAGCGGGCCGTGATCACCAGCCGTGTCCCGCCGGGCACACCTTCTCGATCCCAGATAGCGCGCGAGGTGCCACGCACCCAGCCACCTCCTAGGTACCAGTTCTGTGCACGATCAGCAACACTCCGGCCTCCAAAAGTTTTGTGAGGCACCCCGGGGGTGTGGGGTAGGGGATGGCGTCACGTGGGCCCCGTCGCGGCGTCACGTGACGCGCAGGCCGCGGCGCACGTTGGCGAGGGCCTTGAACATTTCCCTGCAGTCATCCGGCTCTGAGAAGCCGTTTGAGGAGTAGAACCTCTGGGCCGACGCGACAGACAGCAGCTTGATGCCGCGCAGGCACGCGGAGCAGTCTGGCGCGCAGGCGGGGGCGGCCGCAGCCGGGGCTGGGGGCGCGGCGCCGGCGCAGTCGAGCGCGGCGCGCAGCAGGGCGTGGTCGTTGGACAGCGCGAACGCCTCGACTGCAGGGATTGTGCAGGCAGGGCGGGGCGAGGAGAGGCGTGAAGGCAGGAGCCAGCATAGGTAAGGCCACGAGGGAGGGTGTCTTGCATGTTTTTGGGCCTCTTGGGATTCAACACAGAACCCGTCTCGCCTCACCGTGTCAGTACAAGGGATGCATGCCCCGCGCCCCGCGCCCGGCTGGCCCCCCACCGTGCTGCAGCAGCAGGGAGCCGTAGCCCTTGCCGGGCTGGTTGATGCAGATGAGCTCGACGTACACATGGGGAAACACCTCACTGCTGCCGCCGCCGGCGGCCCCGGCGCCGCCCATGGCTTCGCCCACGCCCGCGCCCTTGCCCGCCGCCGCGGCCGCGGCCGCCGCTCCCTGCTTCTTGCTCGCGGGCCGCGGGTAGTGCAGCGCGCCCCCCACGACCTCGCCGCCCGCCTCGAGGGTGGACAAGAAGACGCTCCGCGCCGCACGCAGCGCCGCGGCGTCGCCGGCGGCGCGCGCGGCGTCGACCTTGGCCAGCTGCTCCGCGGCCATGGTTGCGAGCTGCAGGCACACAAAGCGGTTGCGGTCCTTCACGAGGCCCGAGGTCAGGCGCGCCAGGAGGGCGGGCGTCCACTGGGTCGAGGGAAGGGTCTCGGCGCGCACGACTGCGGGCGCCTCTTGCAGGGTTTCGGTGGCGGACAGCTCCTCAGGCTCGCCCCACACGGCGGCAATTGACCAAGTGGGTGTGGCGGGCATGCCGGGGATCACGTTTGCAGGCGGAGGCGCGCCCGCGGCAGGTTCGGGCCCGTTGGCGAGGGCGCAGGCAGCGACATGCGACGAGGCGTATGCTGCCGGGCCGTCGCCCGGCAAACACCCAACGCTATTCATAGGCTCGAACGGCATACTGCTCGAATGCTGGGCGGTGCTGGCAAGGACTGGGGGAATCGCGGTGTATCGAACGCGACGCAGCAGATCGACCAGGCGCTGCGCGCGTTCAGTAGTGATTCGAAATCATTGTGTAGGTGCTAAAGAGACCGACGTGGGCCCGAGGAGGTAGACTGGGGCCGGCTACGATAGTGTGCGGCACGCAAACGAAGGGGTATGAACAGCAAGATGTCGTTGAGAGCAACATTTTGTCTTATATTATGAAGATGGCTGCGCCGTGCAGGTTCGAGTCAAAAAACGGTGCCTACATCCTGCTGGTGACGAGCCGACCCCTTGTGTGCATCATGCGCAAAACAACGCCCTTTGCGCAACACGGTACATTTGGTCTTTGTTGACGTACAAGATTTTGATGGCCATCCACTTATTGCTGAACTTGAAGCCAACAGGCCCAATGTTATCTGGCACGCCCAGCATCCGGTCAACGCATTGTTGACCTGTGCCAGCTGCCACTCAAGTTGGCACGCAACCTGTGAGGCCGCCACAGACGGCTTCCAGGTGGCACATGAGATGTACCCCGAACACGATCGTAATTACTGTACTGGCACTTTGTTGCTGACCTCGCCACGCTGCACACCTAGTCACCCGCCTGGTCCTCTGAGATGCAGCACACCGTGCTGCCAGTGTCCGGCGCGCCCGGCAGCGGTTTACAAGGTGCATCTGGCACTTTATTGTACAATGGGTGGCAAAGCGCCACAGCAGCCCAGACCGCAGCAATAGGCGGGGGGCATCAGGCAAGCAGGAGTTTAAAGCTCGGTACGAGCGCAAACAGGGGTTGCAACAGCAGTGCAAGACGGCACATAGGCTTTCCAGTGCCTGGACACGCCACCACACCGCAGCACCCTGGCGCTGCATTGTTTCAGCTGTCATGCGTGGTTTGTAAGTGCAAGTGCACCAGCTTGTGCATTTGTGCAACACTCAGGCAAGGACAGGGCATGCACATGTGCCTTCGGGCATCCTTTGTGCAAGGTAAGCGGATCTGCACAGCAATATTGCAACTGCAAAGCTCAAAGCAAGTCGCTGCATGCACACATGCAGCTGGCTCCTAATTCACATGCTGAAAGGGCATCTGTGCCTGACCAGGCACAAACGGCACTCTCAGACACAGATAATGGCCCTGTCTGAAGCCACAGAGAGGCCGGCAGCATTTGCCCCATCGCATCAGCGAAGACTGACGCTGCTCACGTCGGGACGCGGTCGCTGCCGCCCGCCCAGAAGCCCATGCAGTAGGGCAGCGTGCAGAGGCCAGCCCCCTTGGGGTAGAAGCCCATGCACAACGGCGGCACCTTCTGCACGATGGCCAGGATCGAGCTGGGGATGGCCCAGAGGCCGTCGCCCACCAGGAGGCCGGCGCCGACGGTCGTGGCCAGCTCGGCGGCTGAGTCCTTGTCGAAGAACTCCCAGATGTGCATGATGATGGACCCCATCCAGAAGTCGATGGCCTGCAATTGAGGGGTTGTTTGGTTTGGGTAGTGGTGCGAGTTTGATTGGTGCATTGGGGATGACGCACTCGCACTCTGCAAACTTGTGGGAAAGCTCGTGTGTGATCTCCTGTGTATCACACAGCATTCTCAACAACCAGCACAGCGCAAGCGTCACGGCCTAAGGTCATGCGCGCGGGCCTCGCGGCGGCGTCCCAGTGTTGCTGGGTGTTGCAGCCGTGACGACGGCGGGACCCACCGATGCGGCGCCGATGTAGAAGGGGATGGACATGGCCATGGGGCTGGGCACCCACTTGGCAAAGCGGCGGGGCAGCAGGTCGCGCACGAGGCACATGAGGATGCCTGTTGGTGGGGTCGGGGAGGCGCGGGGGGCCGGGAGAGTGCACGTCTGTTGTGTGGTGCGAGTGACGCTCAGGGCTTGCGGGAAGAGGCAGAGTTGCTCGCCGAAGAAAAGGCAACGCAATGCGCCTCCCAACGGCTGACAGGCCGGCAGGTGCGCTGGGCTCATCGCTCGGCTCATACATTCACCCCCGACAGCCACCCCCAAACCACACACCCGCGAGGAAGAACACGGCCATGAGGGTGGTGCAGTACTTGGGGAGGGCGCCAAAACCCTTGGTGCCGATGACGGCCATGCCGCGGTAGATGTCGGCGAAGGGGGTGGGGTAGGGGCCGCCGGGGACATTCACCTGCGCGCGGCGGCGATGGCGTCGCCCAAGCATGTTTACACATGCATGTGATATTACCCAAGCAGTGGTATCACCCAACCAAATCCTGATCACCGGTAGGCAACTGGGTCGGGCTGTGGGGCTGCGCACGCCGTCCACAATCCTGGCACAGCCTCGATCGCGACTCGCACCTGGCCAGTCTTGTAGAAGAGCATGAAGGCGTAGGGCCCCATGACGCACCCAACAAGCCCACCAACCAGCTGGGCCAAGAACATGGCGCGCGGCGCTGTCAGGGTCACGTAGCCTGCAAATCAGGCGCAGGACGAGGAGGGCGGGTGAGGGGCAGGATACATCAACTTGCGCGATAGCACCAAATTGCCTAAGATCGTAGCAGTTCTTGCAACCGCAGCAATGCCTTGAGTTGTGCAGATCTGTGCACATCTTGCTGCAGGGTGCGCTTGAATCATCGTTCAGTTTTGCCCCCCCCCCCTCTTCCATCCAGGAAGACAACAAAACCCAAAACCCATCACCAGCCGGCTGACGCCCACCTGTCCTGAAGTCACCCATAAGGGTCGCGGCGGCGCTTGTGGCGTTCAGCACGACACCACAGACGCCCAGGCCCACAATGACACCATTGCCCTGCAACAATAGGGTACGGAGAGAGTTGCATTTTATTGCATCAAAATGTGTACGGTATAACACACCGACTTACTTCTGATAGCGTGTCATCCCAGACGGGCGCACAAGACTCCCAAAACAGCAAGCTGGCGCAGTCGATGGGTGCACCAAGCGCGCATTGCCCTTGACAGTCACCTCAACACCGGCCCATGCGGCGAAGATGAAGAGGCACAGCTTGCCGTACATGCTCGACTGCAGGTCAAAGGTTGCAATTGGCGGCACGCAGCGGTCAGATGTGGCATGTGCGCGCAAGATTTGCCTATGCTTCTGACGAGTCAAGCATCCATAACCTACAAACAATTGCAGGCCCTGTGGGAGTTGCATTTCTACAGCCGACTCACCATGTCCCAGTCAGTGAGGCCGCAGCCGTAGCTGTTAGGAAGGGCAAACAGCGGCGACACGATGTATGCCACCTGGAGGGTTGAGGAGGGTTGGGGGGAGAGCAAGGAGGATCAGAGACAGTAGGGTGAGTGTGTGCCAGACAGGCAAAGCTGACACTCAGAGCGCCAGCTGTGCGCACGAAGCCCCGCCTGTGGACCCCAGAATGTGCCGCCTTGCTGGATTGCTCTGAATGCAACGCAGGCCCTCGTGTTGCTCTGGATGACTCAATCCACGGCCTTTCAACCAGGTTTCTTACCAGGACGTAGTACCACTTAATGGGGGTGTACACCATCGGCAGGAAGATGGTGGACAGGATGGCCAGGCCGCCGTAGCCCAGGGGTACCAGCTGCCAGGGGATCACCTCCCGCAGGAACACGGCCGTGCGCAGGCGGCGCTGTTTTGAGGAAGGGGGGGGGGATAGCGTTGGTTGGGGAGGGGGACAGGAGGGACAGTTTGACCAAAGGAGGTAGGCGTGGGTTGCCACGTGTGTGCGGTCACGATGCCAATCACGGGTGATTTACAGGGATACAGCTGTGTCAAACTGTTTTGATAGGTGGGTCACAATGGGGAACGCAGCATTATGCATCTGCTCTAATTTCTTTCACACTTCTCTGCTTGGTGCTAAGATCCCCCGGTCCCCAAAGAAACAGGGGTCCTTCAGCACCCGCCTCACCTCGGCGGGGGTCTCCTTGAACTGCAGCAGGTCGTCTTCGGCCTCGTCCTCGTCCACAACCAGGCCGTCAGCAAACGCCGGGGGCCTGTGGTGCTCCTGCACAGCCTTGCCGCCCTTGACCATGCCGGCGTCAGAGCTCTTCGCCACCCGCTTCGAGGCGGCAATGACGTTGAGTGTGCCGGTCACGGCACCGGCTTCCTTGGACGCGGCCGGCGCCGTGGCGGGGGCCTCAAACTGCGCGGGGTCGTCGCTATCCTCGGACTCTGAGATCAGGGTGTTGTCGACGGCCGCCTTCTCGGCGGTGAAGCGGGGCAGGCGGCGCGCGGCGCGGGTGGCCAGCATGCGCTTGCGCGTGTCGCGGACGGCTGAACGAGGCGGGGCGGAGGGGCGGATGCGGGGACAGAGATGTGAGAAAGGGGCAGGGGCGGGCAGTTTGAGCCATCAAGGTAACAAGGTCTGGGTCAAGCTGCAACCTGGGGCGTGTGTGGGCCTACTGATGGACAACAAACACTGTTTTCCAGCACAATCAAGCAGGTTGTTTTCGTGTATATACCCCTGCAAACCGGGGCTTACTCGAGTACAGGACCTTGGCCACCATGTAGAGGCCCTCGCCCATCAGGATGGCAATCACCAGGAATACCTGAGAGCGCGCAATTTTATTGTTGCAATGTGTGCTTTTAAGGATTTGCGCTGGCTCGCTGACCCATGTTTGCAGCAGCACAATTATGTTTGCAGCTTCAAACCTTGCCGGTGCTGAACAGGTGTCGCACCGCAGGCGCAGACGTGGCCATGCAGGGCACGGTTTTGCGTTCCCTGTCAACCCCCACCCGCTCGCCCGGCAGGGATGTGGCGTGGCGGCAGTGCGCCCACCTTGTACCCGAAGAGGCCCTGGAAGTCGTGGCTGTCGAGGCCTGCCGGGTACCAGTCGCCAGCCTTGCGCTCCATAAGGGGCCACATCACCCCCCACGAGAGGATGGCGCCGACGAGCATGGACCAGTTGACAATGTGGGGGCAGATCATGCCTGGCGGAGCAGCAAAAGCGGGCGGGGGCAGCAGTGGTCCAGCAAAGCTCATCCCCTGATAGTGCGTGAATGACTCGCCGCTGCCTGCCCCCAACACAAAAGCAAGAGGCTGTCAGGGGCCGGGACGCATGCAGAGTGCAATCCCGCTGCCCAGCGCAAAACGTGGACAACACTATTGTGCGCTCACCGGCGCCGACATAGTTGAGCTGCCAGTCAAAGTTGAAGGTGTACTTCATGGCCGCAAACCCAAACGTGGGCCACGCGCTGAAGCCGCAGGCGTAGTCCGTGCCCTGGAAGAACCACTTGGCCATCGAGAACAGGAACGAGAAGAAGCCGGTGATGCCCAGGAGCTTCACCTTGAACATGGCGGCCGCCTCGCCGGTCTGCGGGGCGGGGCACGGGGTGGGGTGGGGGAGGGGGTTCAGCCGTCTTTCAGTGCAAGCCTCATGTGCGGTGCGGCCGCTGGCGCGTACACCTGATGCGCAGCGAGCATGATGCCGCATCCTGACCGAACGCAGGAAGCTGCCATCACGCGCAGCTGCCCCACACTCCCGCATTTGGCCGCTGACGGCATGGCCACAACCATTCCCGCCTTGCCCACCGCGGTGTGGAAACTGGTGAGCATGATGCCCGACGCGGTGCCGCTGGGGAAAGGCAGCTTCCAGTCGCAGATCATCAGCTTGCGCAGCTGAGTCAGCAGGAACGCGCCGGTCAGTGACGTCAGCAGGAAGTAGGGGATGGTCTTGGAGGGCACCGGGTCGTACACGGCCTCTGGGTGGAAGTCGGGGCTGCCCCTTGGGGCGCCTCCCATGTTCAGGTACGCCTGAGGGCAGTGGGTGGGTGCGAGGCAAGCAGTGGTTGTGTCTTGATGGGTGGCAAGGGTCACACACGATATCGCAAGGTCCCAGTGACTGTGTTGTTGAGTGAAAATGTGACGTGTTCCCATACGATACGTGGTGGTATCGATGCGTCACAACCATGTTCATGGCAAAAGGCAGACTGGTGCAATGCTTCCACGCAGCAGAACGCGCATCAGCAACACACCTGGTAGCCCATGCCGGTCATGTAGCTGCCAAAACCGCCCACTCCCATCGAAAGAATGTAGGTCTGCATAGCAGTGTTCTCCTGCAGGGCAATTGCGTGGTGGCATGGTTTGTTTGGTGGTGAGCAGTGGGCAATAAGTGGGGTGGCGCGCTCTGGGCTGCTGCGTTGCAAGCCTCGCACAGCCACAACAGATGTGGACAGGCCGGAACCCAAACATTCGTCGTCTGGGCATCTGTGCGTTGGTATGGTGGAAGAGTGTGGCGGCTGAAAAAGTCCCAGTCAAACAAGTAGTTGTGCAACCAGGTCCGGTTCTTCCCACCTGCAGACCAAAGGGCTGGAACAGCAGCTTGTGCAGCAGCGGCGCGCGCTGCTGCGTGCGCATGCCGGTGCCAAATGCGGTGAGCGATTTGATGGCCGCGAACGAGATGAGGCCTCCTGGGATGTTCAGGGAAGGGATGATACCGGCTGTGCCCAGGGAGAGCTTCAAACCGATGATGCAGAAGAGCATGCCCAGGGCGGTGCCTGCCAGGGATTGGGTTTGCGAGGTTAGCTTGTGGGTTGTTGTTGTTTATGCAGTGTGCAGTGCACTCGATATCTTTGCCCAGAGAGGGAGCATGCAAACACGCAAGAAGTTTCAAGTGTCCACTCTGGCCTGTATCTAATGCTTGAGAGGTGGCGAACGCGGTATGCGTGCCGCTCTAGCTGTGCCCAGGAAACGTCCCCAACAAACACCGGCAAAAACGTGAGGGAAGGTGCCGCCGAACCAGGCTGTTTGCGCGCATGCCTGCCTCCGCACCAAAGACGAAGCCGCGCAGAGACAGCTGAGTTGTCCAATGGGGCAGCTCGCCGATGACCTTCTCCATCTCCTCGTCGGTGCGCGCGCCGCTGCCAGGGCCATCCTGCGCTGCATCCTTGGGCGTGGCTGCCGCAGCAGCAGCGGCTGCGCCCGTGACATTACGCTTCCTCACGGCTTCATTACTGGGTGCATGATGAGATGAGACGACCTCGCGCTCCTGCCCATCGGCCGTCGCGCCCATCGCGGCTTCGGCTAGCCGTGTCACGCGATTGACCCTGCAACACTTTCAATCAGCGTGATAAAACAATTCAAATATTTATTATAGAACTGGCCCCACTGCAGAGCGACTAGACGGTACAACAGTTTCTAACACGGGTAACCCGCCCGTCGCCGAGTTTTACTCTTCCTCGCCGGAGGCCTTGTGAGATAGCCGCCGTCTGTACGAGGCACAATTTCAGATTTATGAATTAGTGCATCATAAATTTCCTCTTCCTTTTGTCTGCGCCACGCTTGAACTCCTTGACTGACAGTGGCCATGAGGCACATCAGCAACAAATTGATGCATGTGAGCGCGCAGAGGAGCACGCCTCCTCCAAGATACTTTCTCGGACTTCCACGTATCCGCGGCTGCACATTCCGTTCAGCTGAGCTTCAGCAGGCAAGCCGCTGTGCAAGAATGAATCACGCACAATACAAGCCTCTCACAGCCTCTTGTGCGGAAACGGTTCAACTCAGTGTTACAGCGACCTCTCGTCCTCAGCGATGCTCGTGCCGCAGTGTGCAAACTTGCAGGCTAAAATATTCAAGGAGGCCGTTGGAATTTTTCACCTGCAACATCCCAATGCACACCAATTTGCTTGCCTTTCTTGGAGTATTCAATCCAGCCCGCAGCATGCAGATCGCCCTCAATACAAATCCTGAAATCCAGCAAGCGTGGGTGGGTGAGAGAACACCCCAGCCTGCCTCAATCCAATTGAACTAGCAACGGTACACCAACCCCTCTTGCAGACACATGCTGGGCCTGCCCCTCAGATCTCGTCGGTCTCCATGACCACCCTGTATCGCGCCCGGCCGCTGGCCACGCGCGCAGCCGCCTCGTTGATCTGGCTCAGCTTGTAGGTCTCGATCATGGGCTTGACGCCCTGTTGTCAGTTGTTGGTTGGTTGGTTGGTTTAAGTGCGGAGGAAAACAAGAAACTCACAGAGCCTGCAGGCAAGATACTGCCATGCGCGTGAGCTCGTCCAACGCACACGTGCGCTCCCGCCACCCTGGGGCGCTCAGTGCGTGGCTGACCTTGGCAACAGCAAACTCCAGCATTTCCTGCGGAGGCCACAGATGGTCGAGTCACGTTAGCGGTGGACGGGTGATAGCACTACATCAACAGCAGGCAGGAGGGTGATAAACGCTTTGCTCGCCGAGCAGCACAAGGACTAAAGCTTGTGCCAGTGGTCATTGGAAACTCAGCATGCGGGTGCTGGTGGCGGCAGCGCCCTGAGCTGCTCACATCGTGGTTCTTCTGGCCCGTGCCTGCTGGATGCAGGCATGTCCGCAGGCGCGGCGCTGTTCGGTGCGGCTCGCCTGCATGTCTGCGCGGCCGCCGACAATGCTGCCAGCCAGACTCTTCTGGCTGAACACCACGTCTTGCAGCGGCAGCGTGATCTCTGCCCCGCCCCCAGGAATGCCGACCTTGTTTGGTATCGCGTTCGAGAGGCAATGGCAAAACTCAAGACCGTGAGAAGGGGATGAGGCTTTGCATTCGCCCGCCGGGCAGTTTGCCCAGGGCGCTGGCCCTCAAGTGCTGGGGCCACTAGCACATGCAAAGCTGGGAAGGAGGTATAAATTGGCGAGGCATAGGCGTCCAAGGTCCTACCTGTATCAAGACGCCGTCGGGGCACAGCAGGCCCAGGACCTGTGGATGAACGAAGCACGTGTGGCCGCAGGGCATAGTTGTCGAGCCAATGAAATGCAGCAGCAGACAGCAGCTCACGCACAACGCACGAGCCCGCCCAAATAGCCAGCCTGCCCCTCAGAGTCGCCGCGGAATGCGCCTGTGCACCTGGAAGTGCAGAGACGTGAGATTCTCGCACGTCGGAACAAATTTGAAAGCCACACACCTTTGCAAAATCCAGCCGCGCACTGGCGCAGTTGAGGACCACATCGTAGGACCCCTTCTTCTCTTCAAACGCCCTCGCTGACGTGGCAGCCTCCCGCGCCCCCAGGGCCAGGGCCTCCCCCGCCTCGTCGTCATCGCGGACCAGGGCCGTCACCTGCGGTCGCGTGATGACGTCATTGCAACATCACTTTGCGTGGCTTTTGTGGGTGTGGTTGTGCCCGGGTGTGATGCCCCTCGGCAGTGGCTGCCCCCCGGGCAAGGGAGAAGGCCGGCACTACTGACAGCAGAGAATATGTGCAGACAGCAAGCTTGTTGTGGATAGCCACACAGCACACCCATCAAACCATGCGACCGGCCCGTGCTCACGTCAGCACCCATGGCAGCCTGCGGGTGGTGCATTTGCAGTGGTGTTGAGCTGCGAGGTGACATGAGCATCACTCAAACCAACACAAGCCGTGCTTGTGTGTCCAGCCGCGTGCGCCCTGCATGGCGTTCCAGATTGTGGCCGGCGACTCATCTGCTGCTGGTCATCCGGCAAACAGGTTGTGTTGCAGCACATCGCCAGACTGTCCACACCTGACTTGCGCAGCAGGTAGGCTGTGCACCCCACTCACCGCAAACTGCACTGCCAGATGCCCCAGGCCGCCGACGCCCAGCACGGCCACACTCATACCAGGCCGCCTGGTGTGCTTGCGCAGAGGCGCGTACACCTGGGGTCGACGGGCATTCAAGGGGCACTGCTGATCAGGCAGGGCGTAAGCCCACCCGCATGCAGGGAAGGGCGCACAGGATGCAGACAAAAAAGTAAAACAACCCAGGGGCCAGCTGCATGGCAGGCAAAGGCATTCGAGCAACATAGTCCCCGCGGCTCGGATTGAGGTCAGACACGTCTTTAGCGCGCAAGGGCGCCCTCTTGGGCCACCAGTGACTCAACCCTCGTGCGGGCTACCCCAGCAGCCCATCCGCCACACGCACTGCGCAAGTGGCTCGACACACACACGCGGTACACCAACGGCTCAACCCTCCACGCGCCCACCGTGATGCCAGCACACAGCATGGGTGCGGCCTCGGCACTGCCCAGGGCATCTGGGATTTTGTAGGCAAAGGCGCCTGGGACGCGCATGGAGTACTGCATGATTTGGCAGCAGTACGTAAGGGTGGTGCAGGGCGCTTTGAAATGTGTGCCTGGTCGATGCAAAGCGCAGGGAGCGCAGTTTAAGTCTCTTGCGGCACACGTGATTCTGCAGGCTGGTGAGCGTGACCCCCAAGGCTCAGCGGCGGCAGCAGTGCTGCAGTGGTGTAGTGCTGCATTGCTGCAGGAGTGATGCAATGGTGCGGGTCTGCAATGCTGCAGCCCTGCAGCGCTTCCCCAAAAGCCTCTCACTTGGAAGCCTCCAAAGTTCCCAGCTGGGGTGCACCGGCAGCAAACACAAAGAGGGGCAGGCCGGGCGTGGCGGCGACGGCGGGAAGGGACTCTGAGCAACCGGTGATGACGTCTGTCCTGCACTGCTGCTGGCTGCCTGGACCCCATGAAAAGCAAATCCTTATGATGGCCAGGTCTCCTCCTCGTCAACCCCCTCCACGCACGCGCCCCTTGCTGCTGTGGCGTCACAGAATACCCTGAGGCCCCGCTCGCGAGATGCATTGAGCACAATCGCCACAGGCTGTCAGCAAGGGGGGCGGAGAGAAGGTGCAGGCACTGCAGCATCGAGCAGCAACGGAGTAGCGAGAGCAAGCTTGCCCGACAATTGCAGACTCACGGCCGACGATGGTGGGGGTCTGCTGGAGGCACAGGTTCTCCTCCCCCCTCAGGCAGTAGCGGCACTTGCGGCACGAGTCGCGCAGCCAGCCGTAGCCGACGCGGTCGCCGACCTGGGTGCGCGCGGTCGTCAAGGTGGCAGGGGCGGGCCGCAGGCTGAGGCGGCGAGGACGTGTGTGAACACACTGGCAAAAAGCAGGACAGCTGGGCGAGGATGCATCTGTGGTCACCACCAAGAATCAAGTATGATGCACCCCCCTATTATATCCTCCCCCTTGACGTGGCCGCGGATAAGATGGACCTCTTATGTCATGGTTGGCCAAGCCACTGTGTGCGCCTACCCACCTCGATGCCTGCAACGGTGTCGCCCTTTGCAGCCACCTCTCCAACGACCTCGTGTCCTGAGGGCAGGCAACAAGCGGGAGATTAGTGTTCATTGCGCAGGCTGGGAGTAGCCGAGGCAGCAGCCGCAAGGGGCCAGCGCGCGAGCCAAGAGGGTAGAAATATCTGAGGTTCACCGAGCCACGTGGCGGGCCGGCGCCCTTGCCTGCGATCAGGGGAAATGATGTGATGCCCCAGTCGTCGTCCTGGATTGCGCAGTTGAAAACACGATTCGTGGGATAGAGAAGGTGCATGGGTGGGTGGGTGGGCGAAATGGGTGGGCGAAGAAAATGATGGGTGATTCAAAGATGGAGAGCATTGGAAATGCTCCAGCTGTGCAGGCGCAGCCCCAGATTGCGGGAAGTGAGCAGCTCAATGATGAACTGCTGAGCCGGATGGCGCCGTAACCCAGTGTCTCACCCTCATGTGCAGGTCCGAATGGCAGAGCCCGTTGTGGGTGACCTGAGGGGCAGGCAGGCAGGCATCTGCTCAGGCGCTTCCTTGGAACCCCTTTGCTTGGCAGCCGTCCGTTTGCGGAGGGCAGGTATTGGCGTTGAAGCAGCGCCCTACGGTATCTTCGAAGCCTGAACACCATTGCCAGCCCTTGGACCTGCATCCTCACCTTGATCTCTATCTCTGTGGGACCCAAAGGCTTGGGCTCATACTCGTAGGGTTGAAACTTGCCGCCAGCCGCTTGCACGGCCAGACCCTTGAACGGCGCCAGCGCGGCGTGGCAGCGCAACTGGCTGCGACCGCGCGCGGCTGCGGCCGTGCTGGCTGGGGTAGGTACGGACGAGCGGCGAACGGCCCATGGCGGTACAGCTTTGTGGCTTCCCAGGAGCGTGAAATTTATAGAAGCACAAGCAAGCGGGTTGTTTGGGCGTGGCGACGGCCCAAAGTGATGTCGCGATGCATCAGCAGCTGTGCTGAGGGTGTTGCTGTTGCCACTTTGACAGCTGTTCCCAGCGTAATGTGGTTGACAGGGCCATCCCGACAACAACCTTACCACTTGTGGCGTTGTTCTTGAGCATCATCGCGCAAAATCAGGAGCGACTGTGCTGGCAAGCCGTTGTCGGGCGAGATCGTGAACGCGGGGGCGACGTTATCATTGGTTCGTGACGTGGCACCTGAGCCTCTTTGATCGTGAGACATGAGCTTAAGGTCTGCATATAATGGCGATGGTTCATTCAAAGGTGCAATTGCGCGTCTCGGAGACTGTCAGGTGACGAAGTTGCCTATCCGACCCTGCCGGATCCAAGCACAGATTCCTGCAACATTGCAAGACATTGGCGGCCGGGGCGTGCTGCTGCGCGGAGTGCTGAGGCATGCACCCAAGAGGGGCCAGTCAAGGCCTCTGCCGGGGAGCAGCGGCACATGCATTGGCGATGCCCTGGAGCCGCTCAACTGCGATCCTGACCGTCATAACCTTGCGGCGCCGATGCATCAAATGCGCCATACATGCAACCCTCATGGCTGGGGGAGTCAGCACGGCAAGGCAGACCCCGGTGAAACGAGAGGCTGCTTGCTGCTCCAGGCAACACGGCTGCTTGCGCACACGTGCGCTCATGGGCTGTCCACGAGCACATGTGTACGTCAAGTGTGGAACTGCGCGATGTGGAATTTCATGAGGGTCAAGTGGCTCGGAAATTCACGTGCTGGTTACACAGTCTGAGGGTGACGCAAACGTGTGATGGCTGCAGGCGCTTTCTGTCGGGCAGCGGTATCGGGTTAGTAACGACACAAAGTGACCCAGTGTTGAATCAGGACAATGGACATGCACGTGTGTGCATGCCAGTGACTGAGAGCAATGCAGTATTTACAACAACAGAGACTGCGCACCTAAAGGCAACCAAGCTGCAGCTGGACAGGTTTGGATGTGAAAACAACCCCACTGCACCCCAGTTGAAAGGGGAGTAGGTAGGGGGCGCAATCAACGAGCGTCGATGCCTATGGTAAAGCTATTGATAGCAGAATGGGTTGTTTTCGCCTGGCAGCGGTCCCCAGTCTATCCTCTCCCCTGTGTGGACCAACAGCTGGAGTGAGCTGCCCCAGCCGGCCGGGCCATAGCTGCAGGCTGCAGCAACCTCCCACTGCGGCTGCGGCGGCGCCACGGTTGGATGCCGCGCCTTCACGCCACTGCTCGTCCCCGATGCAGCGGCACTGCTGGCGGCGCCAGCAGCAGCGCCAGCAAGGCTCCCAGGTCCCGAAGCACCGTGTGAAGGCGGTCCGCTCGTCGTGCCCACGCCGACGCCGCTTTCGGCCGCCGCGACCGCCAGCGTCCGCGGCGCAGGCCCCATCACTCCGTCATCGTCGCTGCCGCCGCCGCCGTTGCCGCCGCCGCCACCGCCAACCCTGCTTGCGCCAGCAGCGCCGCCACCCGTGCTGCCGCCGCCGCTCGCGCCGCCGCCATTTAAGTTGCTGCCAACTCGCCAGAGGTGAGTGAGCTCTACTGCGCTTGCTGCGCACCGGCCGCTCAAGAGGCTGCAGCGCAGCGCCGCGTTCCGGAAGCCGGGCTCCTGAAAGTGCAGGCTGTACCGCGCGTCCACCCACCGCGTGCCGCCCAGCAGGCGCTGCGCCTGGAGCAGCAGCTGCCGGCCAAACGCTCGGTCGCAGAATAGCCGCGCCCCCAGCTTGCAGCGCGCGCCGCCTTTGCCGCCTTCGCCGCGGTTGCCGCTGCCCCCGGCGCCCCGCGGCTTGCAGAGTTGACCCTCGAGCGCCAACCCCCATGCAAGGCCCCTCTCAGGGTCTGCCGCGTCCCCGCCCGCCGTCGCGGACGCGAGGCAGCTGCCGCCCAGCTGCCGCGAGCCCTCCAGGCTCGCGCGGGCGCAGCGCAGCGCGCCGAGCGCGCCGGCGCCGGCGCCTGAGAGGTCGGTTTCCAGGTCCAGCCGCAGGCGGCGCGACAGGTCCCGGGAGCGCAGCACGCCGGCCGATGACAGCTCGAGCAGCCGGTCGCCCCGCGCCGCGCCGCCGCGGCTGCGGCCGGCGAGGTGGCAGTCGACGGCCCCCTCTGTTCACGCAGGGGCACGCGGGGGGCGCGAGGCGGGGGTCGCCACGCGCCTTGAGCGCATGGGCATGATTTGGCCAGCCACGGCCGCTGCTCTCGCTGAACAGCGCTGCGACAGCAAGAGGCGCGCACGGGCGCAGCCTCGCCGCCACCACAGGTGTGAGTTCCCAACCTCGGCCTCACCTGCCAACTCCCCCCTGCTGCCAAACACGTGGACGTCGATCTGCTGCAGGCCGTCCCGCCGCCCGCCACGCTGCCGCACGCTCCAACCGCCCGAGACGGCGCCCGCCGCCGCGCCCTGGCGGGCTGCCGACGCCGCCGCGGCGCTGCTGGCCGCGGTGCTTGGCGCCAGGGCGCGCAGCGCGCTGCAGTCAAGGGCGCCCTGGCGCACGGCGCGCCGCTGATCTGCAGTTTCAGGAGCCGGGCCCCTGAGGCCGCGCTTTAGGCGCTGCAGGCTGCTCGTGAGGAGTGCGGCCGCCGGCTCCATGCCAGCCTGCAGCTGTGTGAGCTGGCGAGCGTACTGGTGCCACGCCGCCCCGCCCCCACAGTCGCACACCGCTCGCTGGCGTAAAGCAGAAATAATGTGACAACCCTTCTCCTCTTCATAAGACGATCTGCGCCGGCTTTAGAGGCGTCCAGACACACACTTTCAGATCGTCCAAGTGCAGTCCTGCGAGAAGGCATGCAACTGAGCACGTTTGGCCAATGGGCTATGCATTCGGATGCTATAAATATATTTCAATCCTGAATATCAGCTCAGCAACATGCAGCTCGTGAATAGCAGAACAGCAGGCCGCCCGGCATCAGGCCCAGCCACGAGGCCGAGCGCCAGGCTGGTAGCCAATGGCAGGCCGGATGCATGTGCCGTGCAGAGGTCAATTGTGGCTGCCGCGTCACAGGATGAAGAGGCGAGCAAATCCGCATCGCGCACCGCACGTCGCCGGTTCGGTCGCGACACGCGCAAGCGGCTGATCGCCTTTCGCCCGAAGCATCTCTGCAGGCGCCCCGCGCTCCCTCGCCCCTGGCGCTCACCGCGCGGCGCCCCGCCCGCACCCCGCCCTTGCAGTCTGACGGTTTCACATCCGGGAAGAGCATCGACGCGGCGGGCGCGGGCGCGACCATGTCGAGCCCCGGCTGGCTGACGCAGCTCAACCTCCTGTGGAGCGGCAAGGGGGTGCGCGCCACGCGCACATGCTTGCGGCCTGACGCATGCTCTGCTCTCACCAGCCACGTCCTGCCGGCAGCTGCTGCATATCGACGAACTCTGTTGCGCTTCGACTCGGCCGGTTGAAAAACAAAACCGCCGGCCCTGACGCTCGGCCCCGCTTCAGCGCACCTGCCTCCTCAAATCTGCAAACTTGCCCATCACGACTGACGCCTGCCCCCTGCAAACGTCCAGAACATCCCTGTGGCGGACGCCAAGCCAGACGACATAAAGGACCTCCTGGGTGGCGCCCTGTTCAAAGCGCTGTTCAAATGGTTCACCGAGAGCGGCCCGGTGTACCTGCTGCCCACAGGCCCCGTCAGCAGCTTCCTCGTCATCAGCGACCCCGAGTGCGCCAAGCACGTGCTGCGCGCGACCGACAACAGCACGCGGTGCGAGCCCCTGCGTGCTCCCTTGTTTCTCGGGCTGCGTGCCCCCGGATTTGAACATGAAAAGCTGCAGCTGCCTGGTCCAAGGATGCTGGGGTCGCGCCTGTCGCCCTCTGCGGGAGGCCGGATGTGTTGTTTTGCCGTAGAGATCTGGCCTGTCAATAGCTGTTGCTATCTGGATTTCAAATCGTGCGTCTTCGCCTGATCTGGTGACTGATGTGCAGCAACATCTACGACAAGGGGCTGGTGGCGGAGGTCTCCAAGTTCCTCTTTGGGGAGGGCTTCGCGGTCGGCGGCGGCGAGCAGTGGCGCGCGCGGCGGCGCGCGGTCGGGCCGTCGCTGCACAGGTGGGCAGACGCAGGGACCTGGAGGCTTTGTACATGCGTGTTGTCAGGCGCAGGGACCTGAGTGGGATCGGAAGCGGGGCGGCCGCTGCCTCGTGCAGGTGTTGTTATTGTTGCATAAGGCATACTTCGGGGCAGTGCCGACACCCGCACGCCCATAAGCTCTCCTTGTTGCTGCAAGACCCAATCGAGAGGGACCATGCTCACTCGCCTGCCGCCACAGCTCGCAGCCCCCACAGTCTTTGCCGCAATGACAGTGCAGCGCGCGTTCGCCACCGCACCGACTCCAAAAGCAACCGGTCAGCAAGCACGAGCGCGTGCCAAGCATGCACGGCACACACACTCTTGACGACCCCGCGTTTGCCATTCGTGACGTCCACGCACCCACATGTTCGCCCCTCATGACATGCATCCACCCATTCAATGTTTTTCCATCACCCCAGGGCATACCTGGAGGAGATGCTGCAGCGCGTGTTTGGGCCCTCCACGCTCTTCCTGTCAGACAAGCTCACCGCAGCAGCCAAGTCGGGTGCGCGCCCGACTCGGCCGCCAAGGCCAGGCCATCGTCCCGCGCCCTTGCCGCACAGGCAACCTGTTGAGATCGGGGCACCTTCATGAAACAGTTGCCTTGTCAGCAGTGCGCCTGAATTGTCGTGCCCAATACATTGTTTGGACCGCACCGCGAGCTACATCCTTGCAAAGAACTCACGAGCGCGCGCATGCCCCCCCCCCACACACACACACTCTGCCTGCACGATGTTGACCAACCTGCATTGCTCGACACACACGCGCGCACACACACACACACCCCACACACCACACGCGCGCACACACACACGACACACACACCAAACACACCACCCACACACATAACACACACCCACACACGCACGTCTCTACACGCACCACGCCACGCGCAAATCCCACCCCACCAAATACCCCACCCCGCAGGCGCCCCCGTCAACATGGAGGCTGCGTTCAGCCAGCTGACCCTGGACATCATCGGCAAGGCAGTGTTCAACTACGACTTCAACTCACTCACAAAGGACTCCCCCATCATACAGGTGGGGCGCTGGGGGGGGGGTGGGGGCCGGGAGAGGCGCCAGGGCGGAGGGGTGTGCCAGATCAGAAGCGCGCGCCCATCTTCAAGAGTGTTTCGTGTGGGGGGAGGAGATGCGGTGGGCTGGGAAGCTTGATGAGGTATTGGGGGGTCATTTCTTGGTATGGTATGTGGTAGTGGTCCCAACAGAGCGAGAGCCAAACCGAGGCGAGCGGGGTATGTGTGGGAGGGGGATGGGAGGGAGGGCGGGAGGGAGCAACAGTCGGGAGCGACGATGCCGCACGCGCCGCCCCCTCTCACGCGGCATGAGCGCAAGCCAACCGCACGCGCGCCGCGGCCCCCTGCTGCGCCAGGCGGTTTACACATCACTCAAGGAGACGGAGCAGCGCGCCACAGACCTGCTGCCGCTGTGGAAGGTGCGACCCCGGGGTGCACACGCCTCGCTAGTGTGATCTCCCAGCACCGGCAGACCCAGACTGCCATCATGCATTCTCTTGTGGATTCTGCGCCGCTCCACACTGCGCTGGCTAGTGCTGACCACCCCCCCCCACTGCCTGGCTGCCTGATCGCGCTGTTCGCGCAAACTTTGGGGGCCGCCTTTGCAGCGGTGTTTTTGTTTCGCCACAGAGATCTCCTTTGCCGTGCCCCAGACCTCCCCCACCTCCTGTCATCTTCCATCATCTCCCCCTACACACGGGCTGTCCGGCCCCCTCCCCCTGCTACATCACCCCCTGCGGCCCCTCCAGTTTCCCATCCTGGCGCCGCTGATCCCCCGCCAGCGCAAAGCTCTAGCGGCGGTGGAGGTCATTCGGGACACAACCAACAAACTCATAAAGTGGGCCGGGCCGATGATGTCATGTGGTGGTTTTGGGGGACTGTGTGTCTGATTCGGGAGGCAGGGGGCCGGTCGGTTTTGAGTTTGGTATGCTGGGCATTGCTCTTGGTCAGGCAGCAGGTGGTCGGGTGTGAAAGGCCGCGTTGACATCAAGACTACTGCAGCAGCCTGCAAGGAGTTTCGCCCCGTTTTGTCATGCCAACGGACCGGCCCATGCTTAAGCCGCTGTGCTGGGTGCTGGTGCCTGCTCGACCCCCACCACCCTCCCGCCATTTGCCGCCCTCCTCCACCTCATATGGACACCCTCCCTCCCCCTCCCTCCTCCCTCCTCCACCCTCCGCCGTCCTCAACCCACCCAGGCAGTGCAAGGAGATGGTGGATGAGGAGGAGATGCAGGCGGCGGCAGCGGCCACGGCGGAGGGGCGCGAGTACATGAACAAGGGTGAGGGGGGGGCGGCTGCCGGGGGTGTGCTCGACAGGGTGGCACCAGGGGTACAAGGGCGGGGTTGAGTGGGGCGGGGTGAGGGGGTTGTCAGCGTGATGCGGCTCTGGGATGCGCTGCATGGGTCCCTCCAGCTGCAGCTCGTGTGTAGCATTCTGTGGGCATGCATGGCAGCAGACCACTGTTTCTTCTGAGAATCCCCATCACTTTGCCGCGTTTTGCGTCTGGTGGACCGGTCTTGGCGCCCCACGCCCTCACACGTACACACTCCCCAAACAAACCAGGCGACCCCAGTGTGCTGAGCTTCCTCATCGCGGCGCGCGAAGAGGTCGACTCCACACAGGTGCGGCGGTGCACGCCAGGGCCCAGCGCCCAACCTCGCACCCCTCTAAACCACGACGTCGCCCGCCCACGGCAGCGCTAGCGGGTGCCGCAAGGGTGCGGGTTTTACTGTCAGCTGAGGCTGGGCTCTGCCATGGCCGACCCCCTCGACTCGAAACCATCTCTCTGCAGCCCTGCACGACACAGGCTGCCCATCAATTTCCTGACACGATTACGTCTCAACCTGGCTGTCCCACCCATCCTGCACCCATGTTTATCGTCATCCCCGCAGCTGCGTGACGACCTGCTGTCAATGCTGGTGGCTGGCCACGAGACCACGGGCAGCGCGCTGACCTGGACGCTCTACCTGCTGGCAACGAACCCCTCCACCATGGCGGCTGCACAGGTGGCCGTCCGACACTGCTGCATGTCACAGTCCTTGCTCTTCTCACGCATATGTTGAGACACGAGATCGTGTGTTACCCGTCACACTGCTGCAGGCACACTCACCTCGCAAAAGCTGTAGCGAACCGCCGAGCATGATTCTGCTCTGTGGCGTCACCCGGTTCTGTCACCCCGTAACCCACGCGCGTACCGCAGGAGGAGGTCGACCGGGTGCTGGGTGACGACGACATGCCCAACGTGGCGCAGTACGGCCAGCTGGCGTACATAACCCGCTGCATCTGCGAGAGCATGCGGCTGTACCCGCACCCACCGGTGCTGCTGCGGCGCGCACGCGTGGCGGACACGCTGCCCGGCGGCTACGAGGTGGGCGGGCTGCAGGGGGCGTGGCTCGGCAGAGTGCAAGCCACGGGGCTGCAAGGGCAGCGTGCGTCCGCACACGCACACAGCACAAGCTGCACCCCCGGGACATGCGCCGCCCCTGCATGGACCTGACACCACCGCAGCGGGTGCGCCCCGGCACTCAGCTGCTTGCCCTCTCCCCACCCCTCCCAACATACACACACCATCATCCCTTGTCCTGCTGCTGCATCTACTCCCCCCACATCGCCCCTGCCTGCCCACCAGCCGCCCTTGTCCCTCAACCAGACCCCCATGACACAACCGCCCCGTCCCCCGCCACAAGCCTGCAAAACCTCTGTCTCAGACCCCTCGCTGGACCCTGAACCCTGCCAGGTGGTAAAGGGTCAGGACGTGATGATCTCTGTATACAACATCCACCACAGCCCTGCGGTCTGGGAGGACGCAGAGGCCTTCAGGCCGGAGCGCTTCCCCCTGGACCAGCCCGTGCCCAATGAGATCAACACGGACTTCAGGCGAGCCTTGGCTCATGGGGGCAAAGGGGTCCAGCCCGGCTTGAGGGAATGGCGACTGGCTGGCCGCGGGCGGCTGCCAGCCATCTGGGGGCTTTGTCCCGCCCGGCGGGCTGCACCGGCAGGTTGGCCTGCTGGCGGCCTTGGTTAGACTTGCCACACAGTGTGAACACCTCAAGCAAGCGACCACAACATCTCTTCCTTTTCCGCAGGTACATCCCCCTCAGCGGCGGCCCCCGGAAGTGCGTGGGCGACCAGTTTGCGATCATGGAGGCCACCACCGCCCTGGCGATCTTGCTGCGCCGCTTCGACTTCCAGATGGTGCCCGGCCAGAAGATCAACATGACTACTGGGGCCACAATCCACACCACGGACGGGCTGTACATGACGCTTAAGGAGCGGCGGCCGGCAGGCGGCGGCAGGGGCGGCGCGGGCGCGCCGCCAGAGCCGGCGGTGGCGGCGGCTTGAGCAGGGAGGCGCTGGGGGGTGGGACGCTGGTCGGTGCCCGTCAGGTGGCCCCGCCCGCCGCCGTGTGGCAAGGGTGACCCCAATTTGTGGGTCGCCTTGAGGTTTGGATGCTGCTGTGGTTGTATGCGCAGCTTAGTTGCTCTTTGCCTGCAGAACGTCTTTCTTTTTGCGGGAGCATGCCATGTATGCAGCCCTGCGCCGCGCCAAGCAACCAGGCAGCTGGGCAAAATATTCTGTGTAATGGTTCGCTGCGTAAAGCCCTCATGTCACAGCCAAGGGGAACCCCGTCTATTGACCAAGCACAAGAAAAACGCCGAGCTTAGTGATGCTTCGTTGAGGGTGCATCAACGCCCAGGTTAGGGTGACGCCATGCCTCAAAGCGCGCCGGCCTGGTGCTACAAAGCACTGTGGGGTTCTTGGCGCGGCAGCGACACGGCTCTGGCTGGCGCAACGGACGCATTCGAACTGACGTCAGCAAGTGTAGCGGGCAGTGCAGCGGGCGCCGCGCAAGAAGGTGCCGATGACAGTTGAACACACGTACATGGGAGAACGTTGAGCATGTATTTTATAGGCTTTCAGGTTGCACACAAGGCCCCCGTCTAGCCAAAGCCCGGAAGGGCACCGCACTGGCCGGAGATCTCGCTGCTGCTGGCCGGACACGGCACTTTTGGAGAGCTGCGCTGGAACAGTATTATCGGTGAGATATATAATACGCCCTAAGTGCGTTGACCGCCAGGAAAAGGCCGCTGGCTGGGAGTCACTGTGCACCTCGACAGAGGTGCCCCTGAGACCCAGGCTACGCTCAAGGGGCCCGACAGCATCAGGCTGTGTCCCTGGATGAACTTGATGCTGTTAGGTCTTGTGTAAGCTTTGAGTCGGCGCCACAACGTAGCGATCTCATCTCGAATGATGTGTCATCCTTCGCGCCGTTTCTGAACCTTTCTCAGTGCCAGATCCTTCTCCAGAATCTTGATACGACCTTTTCAGGCGGCAGACCCCTCGTGCCGTTTCAGCAGCAGAGTACCCGTTTCGGCGACCTCGCGGCAGATCTTTGCCGGCGGTGGTGGCGGGTGCTACGCGCACGCCCGAAGCAAAAGAGTCACCACCTGCACGCCGCAGCCTCACCCCTAGGCAACACCCATGCAGCTGCGGCAACCACTCCAGCCGCGGGCGCCCGCGGCGCCGGGGCCCCAACCGCGGATGCCTCGTTTCCGGCGTCACCCGCCGGCGGCGCCCGCCCGCCACGTAGCCGCACGCGTCGCCAGCAACCAGATGCGGTCGCCGTCGCTCGACGCCCCAGGCGCCGCTGACGCCGCCGCCGCCGGCTGCCCCTTCACCGCGCTGCGCAACCAGCTCGGTGTCGGTGCAAACAGCAGGCCCGAGGTCGACGCCGCCGCCGCAGACGTTCCCGGCCCCGCGCCGTTTTCTTTCGAGTCGCTGGTGGACGTGGGCACGATTTTCTTTGAGGGGCTTCATGTGGCCATGCTGAAGTTCAGCGAGAAGTATGGCCCCGTCTGCAGGTGTGAGGGAGTGGCGACTCAAAGAGGGCCTTGGTTTGCGAGGGAGTAGCTGTCAACGGCTCAGTTTTTGTGCCTGGCTGTGCGGACAAGGTTCTGGGGGGTTGGGGGCACACAGCAAGGCAAGCCGTGCGTGGCGCCACTATCAGGGCCCTGGGCCCCGTCTGGTGATGCAGGGCAAATCACGAGACAGACCAGCAGCCCGCCTGATGCACCCCCGGCCCTGTCCCCGCCCTCGCCCCCGCAGGTTTGCCAACCCTGCGTCGCTCAACGGCGCCACCAGCTGGGTGTTCCTCAACTCCCCAGAAAACGTGCAGCACGTGTGCGCCACAAACGTCAAAAATTACTCCCAGCGCTACCTGCCGGTGAGAAATCCCTGTGGCCAACCAGCCACCCCTCGAGCCGCGCGCCCCGATGTTCGTTCTCGCGTGGACCTGCGGGCGGCGCCCCCGACGCCTTGTTGAGCACGCGGGGCGCCCACTGTACTGGGCTGCCTGCGTGAGGGCGGCAGCTCCCGCCCCAACCCGCCTTCGTGCCCCATCGACACCAGCCACGCAACCGCTGCGCCTGCGCCGCAATCCATCACCATGTGGGTTCCCCAGGACATCTACAAGTATGTGACCCACGAAAAAGGCATCCTAGGCAGCCAGGGCGACTACAACCAGCGCCACCGGCGGCTGTGCGCGCCGCCATTCCGCAACAAGCACCAGCTTGAGGCGTTTGCTGAAATTGTGGTGCAGCGGTGGGTACGACGCGGTGGAGGTTTTCGAGGGAGGGGGGGGGGTGACGGGGGGGAGGATGAGATGGTCGGGCAGGCGGAGATGTTTGGGCTTGGCGTGTGAGGAGGGAGAGAGGGGTGAGTGTGATCATGTGTGTGGGCATGTGTTTGTGTGTGCGTGCTGTACATGCGGGTATGTGAGCGGTCGCGTGTGCGTGCGCACGTGTGGGTGAGGCGAACAAGCCGAGAGAGAACGGCGGGCCTTGAAAACAAGATATAAATGGACTCCTTTCAGCAGCAGGGCCTGAGGCTAGACCAGCATGTTTGTCACCTGGGCCACGCAGGCTTGTGGCGCAAGCGCGAAAGTGGCGTTGCATGCTGGCATCGCCCCACGCCCGCCCGCACCACGTTTCTCCTGGTCGCCCCCGCAGCTCTGGCCGGCTGGCTGACATCTGGACGGCCCACCTGGCGGGCCTCTCACAGCAGCAGCAGCAGCAGCAGCAGCAGCAGCAGCAGCAGCAGCAGCAGCAGCAGCAGCAGCAGCAGCAGCAGCAGGCGGGCTTTGTGACCGACGTGGCCACCCAGACCCAGCGGCTGACGCTGGACGTGGTGGGGCTGACCGCGTTCAGCCACGACTTCAGGCAGACGCAGCGCGTCGCGGACGACCTGGCGGGGGCGGCAGGGGACGCGACAAAGGTGGGGCGGGGGCAGGGTCTCGTGGCATTCTTGTGTGTGTGTGTGTGTGAGCGCGAGCGTGCGTGCATGCACGTGCGTGCGCGTACGCGTGCGGGCGCGCGCGCCTGTGTGTGTGT